GTGGTCTATTTTTTTGGCTGAAAGCTTGTATATATAACTCGCTAAAGCTTGAATACAATACAATACAATTCACTGCACTGAAATGAACATGGAGAACGATTACACAAAATAGTTCTGTTCTCTCGTATTTTCCCATGTTTAACTGTTTCACCCCCTTTTCACTATGTTCTGTACCCCACTCCACCTATCTCGTTTTATTTTTATTGTTAATATTGTTGTTGCGTTGGCATCAGGCTTGTCTTCAAGCCGGTGGTATATACATATATATATACCATTACCATTCTCCCAAATCAGAGATCAGCTGTAATTGAACTATTTAGACCACTGCAAATGACTGAAATTTATAAAAATAAAAAATAATAAATTTATTAATTAATTAAATATTATTAATACATTAATAATAATTAATAATATATTAATATCAATATATTGTAGGATATTGGAAGCTTCCGATATTTCTGAAGTCCTAAGTTTACCAAAAAAATAGAGATCGTACAACGACGAATGAAATTCCGTTGCTCATCTGAGATCACCAGCGAAATATGTTAAAATAATTCGACAATTTTGAAGAGTGGACTCACCGAACATTTTCCCTTCATCTGAAAGTACTATTTTACGGCGACCACAAGGAGGATAAATAAGCAAAGCTTCACGGAAACTTTGTTCAATATCCGGCGACCAAACTCCATCTTTCCCTTCTATGCTAATTTCAAAATTTTGACTCGGAGGTATCGTCAGTAAACTCGTTCTTGATGTGGTAATTTGCTTCGTTTTTCTATTGTAACCTCTTGGTGTGAATTGGTAATTCATGCTCTGAGAATGAGGGTTGGGAATAGCTTCCGACGAAGGCCGATGCTTGAACTAAAAGTCACAGGGATATGTTCATTGAATTGAAAACACCCATCTTTCAAGGTTATTTAGGAAAAGTGTTAGTATATTTAAATAAGTTAGGTCTGTTCAGTTAATTTCAGTTTCGACAAGGTGAAAGTAGTCGAGACCGATTGAGCGTCCAGATCGTTGTGTTGCCAAGGTTTTGCTTTGGGTTCTAACATCACGCGTCAATCGTTCGTTCTGTTTTTTTCTGAAACGCAGAATTTTTAGGTCCAATCCAATCCAATCTTCCTGGACGTAGAGGCCTCGGCCTTATGGTTGTCCCGATTCTGGCTCGATCTCGTCGGCAGACCGATCGAGCTGTATGTTTGTCCGGTTTGCAGCACGGTTTATAACTCCGCGACCGTCCGAAGTTGCGGGATTCGGATGTAGCAGGAGTCACGTCTTTTATTGGTAAGGCTGAAAGAGAAAGGAGGCATGCTGTCTTCTCGCCGTGTCGGT